ACGTGTTCCTCCCAGTACAATAAAAGATTGTAAAGACTGTCTTTTCACTTGATATATTCACAAATTGTTTACAAATTTCCCTCATTCTTTTTCATTATCATCAGGTACTCTTTTATATTTTACTCAATCGGACCGTTGGTGGTAAACATCTGGGCTTTTTCCTAGCCTTATGTTATTTATTACAAAAGATGCTACAAAAAGTATCTACTATGTAGAGTTGCAAGGAAATTTAAGAATAATTTCCTAGTAGCAGAATTGCTGAGTATGTACATTAGAGAATATGCACATTGTAAACTGACTGTTACCAAATTTTCTCAAAGCAACTTACCAATTTATATGTCCACCTACAATGTATGCCCTAACCCTCATGTCCTCATGACACAATACAACTTCTAACATCTGTTATTTATGCCATTCAAATTATTTTTAATTTGCCTGTCTTACTATGAACGAAGCTGAGTGTATTTCATAACAATTTGGATTTCATTCTCTGTTCCACAGTAAAGTCAGAAAGTCTAATCTTATTTTGATGATCATATTACTACTCTGATCATGGATCTTCATCCACTTTTCTAGCCTAGTTAGGCTCTAGGCTGTTACTGGTACTGTCACTACTTGGCCAGCTCTTTCCTATTAGTCACTGTGAAATAACTGGCTATGTAGAGAGCTGTCTCCCAGAAGGGCAGTGTCCACCTGAGGCAGCTGCTCTGACTTTCAGCGCCTCACAGCAGAGGTGGCTCCTCAGGAGACCATCAGATCAACTCTTTCCATGGCCTCACCATGGTGATGTGTGATAAAGGCTGTGCGTACCAATGTGTATTCCTCCAGCATATGCTGACTTGGCAAAAATGCCAGAGATATTTTCAACAAGGGGTTTGGTTTTGTGTTGGGAAAACAAAGATGCAGCGGCATTGAATTCTCGCTACCTGGTTTATCTGATACTGATAGACCTTTGAGACCAAACAGATGGTGTGAGTATGGTCTGACTTTCACAGAAAAATAAATGGGACACTGACAGAACACTCTGCATAAGGAATTTGTCAAAAGTTTGAAGCTGACACTTGATACCAACTTTTCACTAAACACAGAAAAGTGGTAAAATCAAGTCTTCTCATAAGAAGGAGTATATAAATGTTGCCTGTTATGCTGACTTTTATTCCGCAATCCATGGGTCAACCATCTGCTTTTGAGGGTTGGCTTGCTGGGTACCAGATTTGGATAGAGCCAAATCAAAGTTGACAAGCAGTAACTTTGCAGTGGGCTACATCACTGGGGACTTCCAGCTGCATGCTAATGTCACTAATGGGTCAGAATTTGCCTCCAAATTCATTAAAGAATATTGTGAAGATCTTAACATTTCAGTAAATCTTGCCTGGGCATCAATAGTTGCAACTGCACTTGCTTTGACAATGCAAGTTAACTACCAGTTGGATCCCACTGCTTCCATTTTTCAACAACTCTAGTTTACTGGATTCAGAGGCCTGGTCAGAAGCGTATGCTGTCTGCTGACAGATGGGAAGAGCATTAATGCTGAAGGCCGCATGCTTGGGCTTGCCCTGGAGTTGGTGGTTTAGTCCAACTGAAAGAAACCTCTGGAAAGGGATATCATTAGGCTTAGCTGTAATATTTTCCAATGTGACCAGCAGGCTCTTCCCTCCCCTCACAAGGGTGATCAAAATATAAAGGATGATCTAAACAAAACATGGTTCATAACAACAATACGGATCTTGTTAAATTGATCATCCATCTACTTATCAATAATGCAGCCCAGCAAACATTTTAAAAAGTACACTAGCTGCCAATCATCAAAGATTTTTATTAAAGTGAGAAAACCCACAAAAAGTAGGACAAAAGTACATCAGAAGTCAAAGACTCCCTGTGTGAGTGGCACAACATACATTTAGTTTTGAATCAGACACCTAGACTTTTCCCCTCAAACCTTTCAACCAAATCACTAACCAAACCCATTCCCTCTCAAAGCCAACCCTTGGCCAGGTCTGTTGATTTTACAACCCAAGCACTTCTCACTACTCATATCCATTGCCACCATCTCATTGCAAGCCACCACCAATGCTGGTCTGGATCATAGACAGCAATGCCTTCTAATTAGGTTTCCCATACTTAGTTCTGCCCCCTGCCAATCTGTTCTCCAAATGATAAGCTTTACCATCTTTTAAAAATGGTGGTTTAAGTGCCACTGAGCACTCTTCAATGCCTTCCCATGCTCTTAAAACCTAAAATCCTCCCTTTGGCCTGTAGTAACATTTCATTACTGCATGAATAGATTTCTGGTAGCTTCAACTGAGCCAATAGCTATATGCCTGAACATGAAAACAATATAAAAATCTTAAAAACTGGAAGATACACCTATAGCATACTCTTAAGTCTACAAAATTTGTTCCCTATCTACATTTCTGATCTCATTTCACTCCAAATTCTAGGGTCTTTGATTGTATTGACTTTCTCTCTGTTCTCAGTAAAGGTGACACTCCTCCCTAGTTCAGGCCTCTCTCAGGTGCTGGTCCCTCTGCATGGGCTTTCCTTACGACAATGCGTAAGGGGCCTTCCTTGAGACTCTCTGAACTGTGGGAAAAGTCAGATCTTTATCATTCTCTCTCAAAACATCCAAACTCTTCAGTTTTCATCAAATCTTTAGTTGACCAGTTATATGACTCTTTTCCCTTATTCTAAGTTCCTTCAGGGCAAACACTACTTCTGTTTTTGTTCATTTCCCCAAAACTTGGAACTATGATCAGTAAGGAGCAGGCATTCAATAACTTTCTGCTGAATGAATTAGGTATGAGTTTTAACTACTACACACCCTAACAATGCCTTCTTTCTGGAGTAATCAGTACAAGACCACCCAATTACTACAATGCAACTGTTTTAGCTACCCCCTTTCCTCATTAGAGGAAGGAGGGGACCTCAAAGTGAGATTGTATTGTATGCGTTGTCTGCTTCTAATGGATAAGTTTATTAAACCAATTAGTTTAATTTTAATTCATCAGTTTAAAACCTCAGGCAGTACTAGGAAAAAGTACAAATTAAGTTTAAATAATTTTTTCTCTCTCAATTACATTTTTTAAGATACATTTTATTATGGCTTAAGGTATCTGAAGTTTGCTGGTTCATCAGTAGAATATCCTATCAAGGAATAAATAAATCTTATTCTCTATTATTTCAAATCTTTATTTCTTTTAATGGAAAATAAGAACATTCTTCTTAGGCTTTCAGTACTTACAAGTGAAGGAACTGTGAATATCTGAACCGAGAGGTCTGCGATTGAAAACTCTCTGTCGTGGTCATCTGTCACATAATCACTCTGCAAACGCTCATAGTTCTATTAAGAAGGCAAAAAAAGGCAAGGAGTGCCAGCTATCAGTTACAAAGAAAAGACAAGCACTACTCACCAGAGTAGGTGCGGTGAAGAACTGGACAGACAGAGCAGTCACGGACACTGCTCGCTCGTGATCATCCTCCATAAAATCTCTCTGCAACTGCTGGTAATTCTAAACAACAAGGGGGAGATTCACCTCTAATCCACATTGACCAAATCTTTAAGTATTATAATTTAAAGTCAGTGCTGGAGGATGTCAATAAGGTAACACTGCTATGACAAAGATAACTGGAGTGATTTCTACCAATGAAATTCTGTATGAATACTCAGTTACTGAGCAATGTTCTTGAGCACAATGGCAGTTTGTGAGCTCAAACAAGAATGACAACTTCTAAAATACTAGGACGTGCACCTGTGGGGCTAAACCACAGCACCCACTGCCTCTGAGGAAACTAGACTTTGTTACCTCTGGGTGCCTATCAGAATCCTCTGTTGACTCTTTCATCAAAGTATACATAGCTGGACTCCACTCTTGGTGAATGCCTCAGTGGGTTTGAGAATGGAACACAAACAGATGTATTCTGTAAGAACTCCCCAAATGACTCCTACTGCTCCTTGGTTAACAACTCAAAGAGCCAAAAAACCTGCTAATTCAGGTGGAGGAAAAAAAAAAAGCCAACAAAAAGCAGGTAACTTAATAAAATGCCACTAGAAAGGAAACATGATTCAAGTATGTCAACAACCTAAAGTGTATGATTCTTAATCACATCCCTTGTATACAGGTCATTTCAATTATCTTCTCTTTAAATAAATTTTTATAGTAATGATACTGTAATTCACAATGACATAGGTTTAAATTTTTATTTCATATCATATATACTGTACTAGAGGTATTTCATGTCATCACATGATGAATAACAAAGAATCACTGCTAAAATTTTAGAAATTATAAAAAGATTATTTATGAAGTTTCCTAGAATTTAAAATCAACACAGTGACATATTGTTTGCTGCTAATTTTCAAAATCTGTATATAATCACAAACTATAGTTACTGTTTATAACCTGTTTATTTTGTTAACTCTTCCACCGTGAAAACCTACCTTTGCAAATCGAACAGCAAACAGCTTCTTGTATTTCAAATCCATAAGTAGACTGCTCATGAACAACTGATGATACACACTTCTAGCACCTTTTACAGAGTAAATGTAAGAAAAAGACATACTGAACAAGTCAAAAATCACATTTCCAGGGTTTTTACATGATCAACTCTGAGTCTCAAGATCAAAACTCTTATATGTATCTTGTATAAAATATCTGTAATCTGCATCTTAAAAAAAATCAATTTTTCTGCATATAGTTTTCTAACAAGATATAAAATTCATTTAATTTGGCTCACAGACTCAAATCTGTTTTTCTCTCCAAGTGAAAAAAATTTAACATCCCAATTACCTACATACCTAAAAGTAGTTAGGATCATATATAATGTTTTACACAACCATTACCTCAATACAAAAGAGAAAGTAGTTAAAAAGATTCACCTTTCCACAATTTGGAATCACTAAGCATCAGTCTATCCACTAGAGAAGAGTTTTCACCATCTGGGCCTTCTTGTAAACCAACTTGACATAAAATTCGGCGAAGGCCATCTTAAAACAGAAAGGCAGTCATGAAATAGTACCTTGAAATATTTAAATAAAATTATTTTAGTAGAAACATTCCAATGAATCTATAGTTTTACTAAAAGGAAAATTTATTCAGAAAAAGTAAACATATTAACTATTTATTAACATTGTAAGAAAAAGGATAAAGGCCCAAATCTTGAATTGCACATCAATTCTTACAAAAATATGCCAAAATATTTCTATCAGTCAATAATTTCTTATGCTTTTAAAAAAAGGGGAAAGCCTCCTCAAAACAACTGATACATCATTCTTTAAGCACCTACATAATTTAATGTAAGTTTTAATGTAATTTTTGTAAAATTTATTAAAAACTGTATTACAATAAAATTGTTAGATATTTTGCAACTGAAGGTAGCTATAAAATTGTGTTACCACTTATAATAAATATAAGGCTATGCACTGTAATATGTAGCAGTGAATTTTATCAATTTAACGTTCTTCATCTATTAAACAAAACGTTCTTCATATATTAAACAAAAATACACTGTCTACCATGTAAATGGCACTGGAAGACAAATTTCTCTAGCTTCTAAATGCTAAACTTAAAAAAACCAAAATATTTTTTTTCCTCAAAATTTATTGATCTGCCAACTGCTTACATAACTATAAAATTTTGAGAGTACATCTTTATACATACTTCTCTTGCTTTAACTCCAGTGCCAATATCCTATCATATTCCCTTTCTCCCTCCCCTCATGCCCTCTGGTAACCAGCCCACATTTCAGATTCTGTGAATTATTCCTGTTGTGGTTTGCCAGTTTGTTTTCTCTGGTTATTTATATTCATTAAGTGAGCAAATTACTAAGTAACCGTATTTCACTTTTGGCTAAGAGGACCAAAATCTTAACACATTTTGTTTCATACCTTCTAGCACTTAAATCGCTATTTTTAGTTTTCTCTGAACATGTCCAATAACCAAGAAAAAACGGAGTAATTATAAAATTTAATTATAAAAGTCGACAAACAGAAATAATTTACAAGGCTAAAGAGAAAACCTGTAATAAGCACTAAATAACAGATGCAAAGGCATTATTGATAGCAAATTATCTCAAAGAAAATTGTATGCAAAAATTGCCTCCATCATACTGTTCATTAAAACTGTAGCATAGTCCTTGGTATACAGGTATCCCAATTTAAAAAACCCCAAAACTTAAAAAAAAAAAAAAAAAGGCCATGAAGGATTGCATTTAAATTTTTATATTAAATTTAAGTTATATTGGAAACATTTAAATTGCTCAATAGCAAGCAAATATGTCCTAAATTTCCTCACCTCCATACAACCTAACAGCCTTTCAATACATATTTTAGAAGTTTTCTTTATACAGTCCTGCACTGCATAATGTTTCAAGTCAACAACAGACCACACAGAGAGGATGGTGGGGCAAAAGGGTACACACAGAGCCCAGGTGCCTGGTAGGCTATACCTCCTTGGTTCATGTACACTCTGTGAATCACCCAGTGACAACCAGGGAATCACAAATTTCTCAGATCGTGACCTTGTCAAGCAAGGTATGAATGTAGTAAACACACTATAATGCCTTTTATTCAAACTACCTCTCTTCTCCAAGAAACCATATGAGACAAGAGTACAGACCTATTCTTAGATCTATTTCTATTTTACCTTTAGTTTTGTAAACCAATTTGTATTTTGGGCACTGGACATGAGGTCTCTAAATTCTGTTACCATTACATTAAAAAAATCATCTAATTTGTTGATTGGGAAAAAACCCCTCAAATATTAGTAACTTAAAATTTGCAAATTTTTAGAGTTGTAAATTATTAGTTACCAAAAAGTCAAAACAAAAATAAAAATTTATCCTTTAGGCTTATCATTAAAGTAGGCCTATCATTTAGATTTTATTTATAGGGGAGTTTTGACCTTGCTCAATGGAACAGGGATCACAAAAAAATGCTTCATAAAAAAAAAAAGTTATCAAAGTTGTGGGATTAACAGTTACTAGCAAACTAAAGTCATTTACCACTGTTTAATCCAATCTCTTGCATTAATTTGAACATAAAACTCTTTAAATACATATAAAAAATGTTGTATACCAAAGTTTTGGGAAACACAGGTTTTTCTACTCATAAAGATAACCTGAGGTGGTCCTTTAAATGTGAAATCAAAATTATTCCACTTGATTTTTCCCCAACATCAGTTTTGCTAAGGTCTATGAGCTCCTTCTTAAGGCAATCAGCACACGCATTTATGAACCTACCTGAGTATCCAATAATACTTCCCAGCCAAGATAAAAGTCTCAAACCAAAATTCTGATGTGCGACAATAGACGAATGCATGACTTGGACTTTGAGTGGCTTTGTCTGTCTACTGGTATTCCTCTTAAAAAGAAATGGTAGGGTGAAGAAAGCAAACTTAAAGACTATTTTTAAAAAGTTAGTATTTTTACTAAATTCAACTACACTCTCATCATTATAGGAGAATTCTTTATGTATGCATGTAAGAAAAATACTACTTGGCTTGCCAAGTTAGATCCTAATTTTATAGAAAGAATTTTTGGATTCTTACAAAACAGTAAGAAGCTGTTCAGTAATCTGAATCTTTGGTCTTCTATTCGAAAATCTGTCCTACAAATATGACTTGTTTAAATTTGCTTTAGGCCTTTAACTTCTTAATGTAGTTCACTGCATAGATGTTATCAATACTTTTAAAAAATTGTAGTAAAATACACATAATGTAAAAAATTTGCCACAAACATTTTTAAAATGTATAGTCCAATAGTGTTATCTACATTCACACTGCAGTAAGCAATCTCCGGAATTCTTTTCATCTTGTAAGACCAAAACTCTGTATCCATCAAACACTCCAGGTATCCCATACACATAGAATCACACAGCTTTTCTCTTTTTTTGGCTTGTTTCACTTAACATCATTTCTCAACGTTCATCTACCTTGCAGTATGTGTCAGAATTTTCTCCCTTTCTAAGACTAAGTAATACTCTACCATCTGCACACACATTTTGAGTATCCATTCACCCACTGACAAGACACTTGCTTCTGCCCTAGCTTGCTGGGAACACTGGTATATAAATATCTAAGGCTATGCTTTCAATTTTAGGGAATATATGCAGAAGCACCTGTTGGATGATAAGGTAATTCTGTTTCTAATTTTCTGAGAACTACCAGTGTTTTCCAGAGTGGCCACTGTTTCACTTCCTACCAGCAGTGTAGTACCAGGGTTCCACTGTCTCCACATCCTTACCAACACATGATCTTTTGTTTTGTTTATTCTAAGTCATTCAAATGGGCACAAGGTGTTATCCATGTAGTTTTTATTAGTGTATTTACCTAATGATCAGTAATGTTGAGTGTGCTTTCATGTACTTATCAGCAATTTATGTCTTCTTTGGAGAAATGTCTATTCAAACCTATCAAAATGTTTTAACATATATTTGCCTTCTTTTTATGTTTTGTTTGGATCACCCTCCATCCCTGCTTCATCCATCTCCACGTTCCACATTAACATAATACATCTTTGCATATTTTCATCTCTATAAATTATATATACACATATTTAAGGTTTTCTATTTGATTTATAAAAATTGGACAATACATACACTATTGTGCATCTCTCCTTTAACTGGTTGTTTTTTTTTGGTGGTGTTAGTGACTATATAACATTATGCAATATGGATTTACTTAAACATCCTCTAGAGATGGGCAACCTTAGACATTTTATTTACAGTCATCTGATTACAAAACAAGTATACCAAACATCTTTATCCACAATGATGCTTATATTTCAATGGGGTAAACTCTGAGAAGTGATGATATAGATTATCTTCCAAATCTACTACAGCATTTCTTTTTACACAAATATTCCTATTTTCTATGAGAGAAGGTACTTTATAACCGCTGATTTCTACATTCTGATCGATGAAATTTACTTGTCATTTAACTGATTACTGGTGAATTCAATCTTTTCATATACACTGACTACCTAAATTATCTGTTCTGCCTGCCTTTTAATATTCATTTTAAAATTTTGTTTTCTGTTCCCTATTTGATAATCTATGTGTGCTCTGTATCATAAACATTAAATATCATTTGTATTAGAAATATTTTTTCTCAATCTACAATCTGCGTTCTAATTTTGGTTATGAGTATATGAATGTTTCTTTTATAATTTGTAGGGTTCTCTAATCTTGGTTAAGAAGCTCCTAACCTCCCTTAGGATATATTTGTAGTGCCCTAGATTATCTTCATACTAGCATCTATTATTGGACTTACTACTCTATGTGAGTACCATCAGAGGTTACAACAGTTTTTTAAAATACTACTGAACATAAGAAGTTATAAAACAACATATGAGGGAAAAGCATCCTTTTCTTTACCCAGATGCATGTATTGTAAACATTTAAAAAATTGCTTTATAATCTGCATATTACCCTTTTTTTCTGTATACCTAGATAGCGATACACATAAATACATTTTTAAAAGCTGAACCTGTGTACACACAAACAAAGGCATTTTAAAAAATGAATCCCTGAGGATAAGTTACTTGCATCATAACTCTTATCTGTAGATACTTTGGTGTTCCAAAGAATCCACAATTCCTAAGAGTGGGAATATTTTAGGGTCTCCCTGGTGGTGCAACAGGTTGAGGCTCAGCACTATGAACTGACCGGCAGCCACTGCAGTGCGAGTTTTTTCCCAGCCAGGGAGGTGACCCACAAGGGTGCAGCAGATCTCTCCTTTCTTGTCCTCTGCTCCTCTCAGCAGTGTACTTTGTTAATCAGCCTGTTCTGTTACCCATTCTGTCTCTGGTGAATCCTCTCACTGCCCCTGCCTCTCTGGCCTGTACCCCAAATCTTGAATGTGCATAAATAAATAAATCTTAAAAAAAAAAAAAAAGGAATGGGGATATTTTACACAACCACACTAGAGAATGTAATACATTAAATCAAATATGTCCTGCTGTCAAGGGAGATATCTTTTTTTAAAGATTTATTTATTTATTCATTCATACAGAGCTAAGGTACAGGCCAGAGTTGCGGAGGGTGAAAGGATTCACCAGGGACAGAGTGGGGAGCAGAACAGGCAGATCAGCAAAGTACACTGCTGAGGGGAGCAGCGGGCGGGTCAGGAGAGGTCTGCCACGCAATGTGGATCTCCTCCCAGGCAGGCGGGGATAGAACTCATAAGGAAGTGGCTTAATCTTCTTTGTGCAGTGCTTTAACACGCTGCACCACCAGGGAGGGCCACAAGAGAGATATCTTAAGACCCACAAGTACCAATCATAAGGAAAAAGATATACTGTGCTACTTAAAATGTAAAACTTTTGTTCAATGTTGAGTTTCTTCAAACTTAAAATAAGTCACATATAGGGCCCTCCCTGGTGGTGCAGCGGGTAAAAGCATAACACTAAGAAGATAAAGCTACTCAGCATGAGTTTGATCCCCACCCCTAAGGGGATCCACATGGCGAGGCAGACCTCTCCTGACCTATCCACTGCTCCCCTCAGCAGTGTACTTCGTCAGTTGGCCTATCCTGCTCCCCACTGTCTCTGGTGAATCCTCTCACCTCCGTCACACCTATGGCCTGTACCTTAGTTCTGTATGCATAAATAAATAAAATCTTTAGAAAAAAAAAAAGTCATATGGGGAAAGATATTTGCAACTAAAGATTATAATTCTACTTATGAAAAGAACCCCTAATAAATCAGTAAGAAAATGACAAATACTGTAAAAGAAAATATGGGTTAAGAATATGAACAGGAAAATCACAGAAAACTCTTAAATGGCCAACACAAATTAAGGTACATAGTAATTAAGGCTATGCAAATTTAACTAATGAGATTGTTTTATACATATTAGAATAGTAAAAATTAAAAAAACTGGTAATATATAGTTTTGACAAAATTGTGGAGAAATGGAAGTCACATACACTGCTGGTGGGAATGTGAGTCAGTCACCATTTTGGAGACTAACCTGGCAAGCATAAAGCTAAAAATGCTCACGTTCTAACAACTAGTATGTGCCCTAGAGAAATTTGCATTCAAGCCACAAGGGGACAAAATAATGTCAACAGCAGGACTTTTAGCAATAGTAAAAATGGAAAGAGCTTAACTGTTCACCAGTAGGGAAATTTAAGAATTATGCTATAGTTATCATTAAAATATTTTATAGGTATCTGTATTAACAGAGGCAAATAAAGAAACAACCCTAAAATGAAAAGGCAAAATACATTAAGAATGAATCTTGATATGTAGCATTTAAAGGCCTACAGATTCATGCATAGGACACTGACAGATAATTAATAAATGTAATATAAAGGCATACATGAAAATGAACAAATGATTTAATGAAAATAGTTATGTCTAAGGAAGAAGGAAGGGGAATGAGATTAAGAAGATGTAATACAAGGAGTTCTATACTATTCTATTTAAAATAAGTACAACAAAATAAGGTATAAGGTGGGTATACAAGTATTCATTGCTTTATATGTATTTCAAATATTTCATAATATATAAAATTATTTTTAAAGTCATTTACATAAAATGCAGTTACAAGGAATAATTAAAGATCATAAATTCTAACTTCTTAAAATATATGTAAACGTGGATTATAGTTCTCTTTTAAAGAAATAATACACTCAATGCTATTATGATATGTAGCATACCTTGCTATTAAGGTACCAAGAAACAACTTCCCTTGAATTCTAATCTTGGTGCTAAAGGCCAGTTTAATTCCTAAAAAGTAACATGAAACCCTATCAAAAACAAAATAAGACAAACAGCAAAAAACTTTCTAACACATCGCTGATGGAGACATAGGAAGACAGAAAAGATATATCTCATCTAAACATTCACTTGTTCTATCAATCTGATACAACTTAAAATACTAAATAACAATGCTATACTCAAGAAACATATCTTTAAAAATGATTTTTGGTTCATGTTAATTTTATATTGATGAAGGCAGCAAAATATGTTCATAAAAGCCAAAAATGAGGAGCTAGCTTAAGCTAACAAAATGTAACAGTGTAAACATGTTTTAAAACTACTTACCACAATTACTGATTTAGCTTGTTCACAATATTGGAAGTCTCCATATCTAACAGATCTACGTCCCTATAAATAAAGACATTAAAAATTAACATGCGAATATATATTTAGCTTTAATAAATTCTGAAACAGTAATAAACATATCAGCATACAACTCTGGTCAATTTTTAGTATTTATAACTTCATTCTATTCAGTCATGAAAACTAAACTAAAACAGCTTCCTTCATATCTATCCTAGTATTTTCAAACCATTAGTATTTCCTTAAATAATACATTTATTCTTCTAAATAATGTCTGTTTTCATAACTAAGTATCTCCAAGCCATACAAATGAGGGTAACTGTATCTATATTTCCTCTTAAACTTTCTATCTGACAATAGGTTATAGTTATAACCAATATATACTTAGGTCAGTATCCAAGTGAAATTAAAAAAAAAAAAAAATTACCAAAGATGTGTATACCCTTGACTTAATTTTTTAGGATAACTTATCTGTAGTAAAAGTCCTATTTATTATGGAACATGAAAATAATGAAATTACTTACATCTCGATCTACTGTAGTTGCAAAACCAATGGCTTCTTTTTGTGTACAATTAACAGCTTTCTGAAGAGTATAAATAACCTGTTCATAGGTGTGAACCTCATCATTAAACAGCATGCAATAGTAAGTGTCACTCTTCTGTCTGTGGAGTAAAACATTTATTACATATTAATTATACCTTTGACTATTATCTTGTTCCAGGCTATTTCATTAAGGACCTACTTTGCATGAGGGAATGTAATAGGCACTGGGTACACACAAATCTGTATGAAGTCACTTATGACTCCAGCTCTATGATACTACCATTTGGTGAGGAAGAATAATTCTATATGAACTGGCTTATCAAGAAGAGTAGGATGTTACAGCAGGGTAAAGCAGGTCAGATCTTAGAGAAGAAATACCAGAGAAGTAATCTGATAGCTGAAGTCAGAATTGGCTACTAGTGTTTAATTGGGGGCAATTCCTTCCTGACCCCAACAGTTGACCATTTTGCAATGTCTAGATACATTTTTGGTTGTCATGACTGGGACATCACTGGGATTTAGTGCATAAGGGCCCAGGTAAACTGCTTAATAGTCTACAATCCACTGGAAAGCTCCCATACAAAGAATAAATTTTATCCAAAAGACCAAGAGTGCCAAAACTGAGAAATCTCAAGCTTGAGAAAGGCAAAAGCAAAGGCCCTGAGGGACCAAAGGTAAATATTGGGAGCTAGAGGACAGAGAGGAAGGAGCTTAGTGTGGAGAGAGGCAGAAATCCTGAAGACCTTATAACAGATTTCTTATTTTGCCATTAGGGATTTGAAATAGGAGATATGGTCACATTTACCTTAAAGTTCACTTTGGCTGCAGTGTGGTGAATGAACCATGAGGGACAAGAGTGATATGGTAATCCTGTTTCTTAACCATGTTGCCCAAGGATGAAATTACTTTAGATTAGAATAGCAGTAATGGAGACGAAAAGATGTAGAATTTTAATGAAGGAAACCAGATGGACTTGATATAGGAATGAGTATGTGTGATTCAGGTTTCTGATAGATGGAAAGTGATTTACTAAGATGGGAAAACATTGCAAGAGAAGAAAGATTCTCTCCCTTTCGTGCTGGCCTGAATCTACAATGAAAGAAGAAAAAAAATACAAACAAAACTCTTCTATTTTGCAGGGTCTAAATTTGATCTTGAATTGATAGTTCCCAATTTGAAGTTGATAAAGAAAAAGTCACGAAGTACTGAATGATTTTCAAAAGTGCAGTAATTTCATTTTATTAAAAAACACTTTAACCCCCAAGCGAATTATAGGAAACATTGTTGAGAAAGTAAAAAAGAACACGTAATATCCTTCAGACACCCACTCATCTTGTATTCCACCTTCACTATGAATACAACTCCATCAAGCCTGGGTAGACTTAGACAGAAATAAAAGCCAAGGCTGCTTGAGGCAAACACATTCACAAGGACACTGAGCCCACAGCTATGGCCCATGTAACTCAGATCACAAGTCTGTGACCTCTTTAATAATCTAAGAATAAACAACAAGTGTCAGATGTAGGCTAAAAGAAGCACAAAGTGTAGAATAACTTAGAATTAAACTGGGTAAACTAAGGTTGAGCATTTATTTAAACTAGAAAACTGGTAGGGAACAGCTCATTCCCTAATCTTACCTAGTGGATGAAACGAAAAGAACTGCATAGTTTACTGATCAGTTTTCTCAGATAATGAAGAGGAAACTGCCTGTGCCTGAACCCAGCAGCTGAGCCTTGATGAGGATTCAATATGGACAATCCAGCTAAAATAATCAATTGACAGAGAAGACTTCTACCCATCAAGTGGATTACATGTATTTAAAAGCTATATATATAAAAAAAAAAAGCTATAAAATCAAAGCTATTGTTCAGGAGAAAAACAATTATTAAAAAAATTGTATTCTATCCTAATGAATCAGAATCAAAATGGCTAAAAATGAGTTTAAACAAACACAAATGCAGACACAATGAATTATACTTACTCTATTTCTAAATCCACTGGCAATTCATTTTCTTTTTCCCAGGTTAATATCTCTACTGCATATCGAAACATAATAGTAAAAATGTTGTAAGTCCTTGCTATCACATCTTCTGATAAATGCACAAGAGGATCCTGAAACAATAAAAAGGCAACTGTGTAAATACATGCTGACCCTCTTTCCCATTCTGCCTCCATCCTCAAATTACTACTGTAAAAAGCTCTTTCACCTTCAGCTTCTCTTCAACAATTTCATCTCTGTATTCCAGCCCACAAAAGCAAGCTGTTCATGGTAACTGGCAATGTAAGCCTAATAACCACATCTAAAAATTTTAGAATGATATTTTAGGATCTTTAAAACTTAACATTAAACCATTTTTGGTAGCTTCACAGTCTATAAATCCCAACTTTCAACATAAACAAAAGAATGTCATAGAGACAGACAAGTAATGTTTAGATTTACAAGTAAAAGGAAGTCTGATTTTGAGTATATTCATAGGGAGAAGTTAACTGGATCTAAAAACTCCTCCTGGGTAGTTTTAGAATTACTCATCTACTTTTGCTCAGCAGTACTGGGAATCTTACATTAGACTTACACAGTAAGTCACTAAATTCTAGGTTAATATAAAAAATATTATTATAAACACAATAGTTTCAGTCATGTCTTACACCATCTTTAATCTTCATGCCTTTTCTTCAATCTAAAGATACGCATTACCTTAATTGCTAAACAGTGTCAAAATGAATTATATCCCAACATCACGAAGTGGGTACCAACACATTTTGGCAAATAAACATAAAGAAACACAACATTTATTTATATCCTCACCAAAGACAAACCTAGTGGAAATGATGTAAAACAAATGGAGAATAAGAAAGAATGGAAGAAAAGAGTAATATTTCAAAAGGAGATAGTTCTAGGACTCAATAAAAGCAGGAAAAAGAATTTTCAAATTTCTTCCAGCCAGCACTTCTTACACAACTGTTCCAACAGACTATATAGTTCATCAATTTTTTTTTTTTGATGCAAGATTTATTACTATTTCTTCGGTAGACAGAGGTACCTTCAAGGGATTAAAAAAATAGTGAGCGTTCAGCAACCAAGAAAAAGAAACACATGTCTTTTGCAGCAACATGGACGGGGCTGGAAAAGATCATGCTTAGTGAAATAAGCCAGAAAGAAAAGGAAAAATACTGGATAGCTTCTCTTATAATGGAACAGGCGAGAAAATAGTGATAATGATGAACAGCTATATCGCAGAGACATTTTGTGGGGGTGGAGTGGGGAATGGGATCAAAAACAGTGGGGGGAGGGAAATGCACTGGACATTGGTGATGGCACATGGGTGATGTGGTGAAGGGAAACCCAAGGGAACTGCAACTGAGATGGAAAAATGCACAAAATGATGTAAAAATAAACGGAATCCAAGGCGGTAGTATCCAAACTATTCTACAAAATTCCAGGACCTGCTAGAGATATTTTCCACTTGAAAAATATGTAACTACCCATTTTCTTTGAATAGGAATGTAAAAACACTCTAAATGTGTTATATTACATATTTAGTATCATCAACTATGAAACTGGGGTTGACACAGACGTAGGAACACAGATTCTTCCACATACAATTTAACTTCTTGAAAAGTGGTCACTGATTAAGAGTTACTTCTGCAGTGTGGAGGGAGAGGCAAGGTTGTAAAAATATACTCATTCACAATGGTAAAGTAAGTGGTAGGAAAGAGGTCTGCTCAAAATCACAGTATGTCAGTTGGAATGAGTAAATAATCAGCTAAGCCTAACAGGTATTAGAAATTATGACTCAAAATGATAGTTCTTGGACTACATTTTATGTTAGAGAATGTAAGCATTTGTCACAGATTTAATTTTGTTTTATTCTTTCAAACCAGAAGAACACAAAGCATGCTGCTTAAAAAGTTGTCAGCATTACCATAGAGGGCATGGGGAACTTTTTCTTTTAAAGATTTATTTATTTATTCGTACAGAACTTGGATACAAGCCAGAGGTGTGGGGTGGTGAGAAGCTTTACCAGAGACAGAACAGGGAGCAGAACAGGCAGATGATGAAATACCCTGCTGAGGGGAGCAGTGGGAGAGACAGGGAGGTCTGCCATGCCAGTTGGATCACCTCCAGGGGCGAGGATAGCACTGAAGCAGCTGTGGCTAGCTTGCAGTGCTGCATCCTATCCTATTGTGCCACCAGGGAGGGCCCAATTATGAGGAACCTTAACCTGTTATGTAATACACTTCTGTAATACTTGGATTTTTAAATGTAAGCATATGTTACAAGATTTTAACTACTGTCATATAGAAAAATAAGGAGTGAACAAGGATTTTCTCTATAGTAGGTAAAACTACATTAACCCTGACTTATTTCAAAAATTGACTTTGGAATAACAATACTTTCTTATTTATTTATTTATTTACTCATAGATGAATTAGGGGGTGGAGGCCAGAGGTGCAGGGGTGGTGAGAGGCTCCACCATAGACAGAGTGGGGAGCAGAACAGGCAGATCACTGAAATACATTGCTGAGGGAGCAGCAGGTGAGACAAGTCTGCAGTGCCCTATGGGGGTCAGCTCCCTGGCTGGGGACCCAGGACGTATAGCAGCGATAACATGATAGTGATGAGGCTTACCTCCTACGCCAACAGGGAGGCCCCTAACAATACACATTTTAACTTATAAAAAATAAATGCTATTTTTAACTTTTTTATTATTAGGAACTTTAAAAAACAATTCCAACGCTAAAAATGTTCTTTAAAACCAGTATAATGTGCTGGCAGAGTTCCATTACTAGAGGCAGAACTACTGAGGTGTAACCCTGGTCACTTATGGGGCACTTAAGATTCTCAATCTCTCTAAAGTCAAGCTCCTGCAATTATAAAGTATTGGTAACAGCAGTACTTATCTTACAGGAATGTTCTGAAACTTAGATGAGATGCTAGGAACAATATTTAGCTGTTAATAATCACTGCTCTGCATTCAACTGAGATGAGAGCAGCACTGTTAAGTGAAAATTTCAGATTACTAAAATTCACTGAGGTTGTTCAGTTAATATTTTGTTATTGAAATAAAATTTATCCCAAAAATAATTATAGCTACTTAAGCAAACAAGCAGCATAATAATTATTGAAAAACATACGTACAAAAAAAAAAGAGAGAAAAACAGATATACAAAGTATATCAAGCAGGTGAGAGGAAAATAAACTGAAGATAATTTCGACACAGTTGGCTGTATTCCCCAACATTTGGCTCTGTTACCAGAAGCCTTGACAAAGGGAAACACAATTATCAGATCACATCAAGAGAAGTATAACATACATTTCCTAACGCAGAGATTGGGAAGAAATTTCTTACGGTTCTCACAAAGGTCAACAAAGGAGACACTAGAAGAGTTACCATCCCACCAACCTCTCTACTCACTCCCAAGCCCAAGGGCCATTTGGAAACCTGACCGGGCATTTCCTGTGGTGATGGGAGATGAGCAGAAATTAGTGTAATAAACACAGTGAGTGCTTCTAATAGTGCTTCTGACCTGCAGTCAGTTAAACTTTTTCTGTAAGAAGGCCAGATAGTCAGTCTTTTAGTTTTTACAAGATATAGGTTCTCTGTCACAGCTACTCAATCTTGCTCTTATAATGGGAAACCAATTACAGACATAAACAAGCATTACCATTTTAATTGTGGACATTGAACTCTGAGTTTCACATAATTTTCACATACTACAAAACACTATCCATCCTACTGATTTTGTTAAACTATTTAAGAAATATAAAAATTATTATAACTGAGATGAAACAATGCACAAGATGAAGAATGATGTTAAAAATAAATACTAAAAAAAAAAAAAAAAAAGGAAATATCAAAACTATTCTAACTTCTGGTGCTGCCAGTAATAGAGTGCAGGAAGATATGGCTTGCTGGGAAGATAACTATTTCATCCCAAATTCCTAGAGCTGAAAATACCTGAAGAACTTTTAAGCATTATCCCCTACAGAAATTCATTATCAGCTTTTTGTAACTTAAGATGTAAACTGAATATATAACAAAGATTATGTTCAATAAAAACAATTCTGTGACAGACTAAAAATATACTTCCCAATGCAATAGCTTTCTTCTCGTTCAGGAACAAAGTACTGAAAACCTTGGTATATGTATGAACTGAGCATCCACTAGGTAAGCTCACCACAAAGGTATCTTTTTAATGTTTAATGGTATTATCCTGAAGACCTCCTTTCTTTTAACTGAATTGTTAGACAGGAATTAATGGCAGTATTTTCATGTTTTATTTTCTGTCAGCTTCTAGCGTCCATATTCCCCAGGAAGGACTAGTCAGTCAGGTGATCTCGCTGGCATCTTAAAGTTTCGTGAAGTCTGCACTGTTTGATAACTACCCTACTAATTCATGCATGAGGCTAGTCAATGGAGTAACTGCAGGCAGTCACAATTTTTCTTAGAAAACTATTTTAAGTTTTTAAACATAATTCTAAAAAAAAAAGTCTAAGAAAAGGTAAGAGAAGTCATAAAACTTTTAAAATAATTTGTTGAGGTGAAATTCAAAGAACATACAATTAACAATTTTGAAATGAACCACTTTATGGTATTTGGTATATTTATAAAAATCATCTTTATCTAGTCCCAAAACATTTCTATAACTTCAAAATTAAAGCTTTTACCTATTAAGCACTCTTTTTCCATTCTCTTCTTCCCTACCTTGCAATCACATGTCTGTTCTAGCTCTGGATTTATTTATGCTTGATGCTTCATATAAATGGGACAATACAGTATGTAACCTTTTGTGTCTGGCTTGTTTCACTGAGCATGTTTTGAAGGCTTAACCATATTGTAGCATTCAGTATTTCACTCCCTTTCATGCTTGAGTAATAATATTACATTTATCACAAACTGTTTATCCACTCATTCACTGGTTGACTTGGCTCTTTCCATCTTTTGGCTATTGTGAACAGAGCTGCCACAAACATTAATGTACATGTATTCTTTTGGATATCTATCTAGGAGAAAAATCACAGGTTCATTTGGTGACTCTATGTTGACATTGTGAGGAACAGCTAAACTGTTTTCTATAGCATGGAATCAATTTGCATTATAATAGCAATGTATGAGGGTTCTAGTTTCCCCACATTTTTATCAAAACTTGCTATTTCCGGCCCTCCCTGGTGGCGCAGTGGGTTAAAGCACTGAACTAAGAAGCTTAAGCCACTTCCGCATGAGTTCGATCCCTGCCTGCCCCGGAGGTGACCACATGGCGTGGCAGACCTCTCCTGACCCGCCCGCTGCTCCCCTCAGCAGTGTACTTTGTAGATCTGCCTGTTCTGCTCCCCATTCTGTCCCTGGTGAATCCTCTCACCCTCCGCATCTCTGGCCAATACCCCAGTTCTTTATGAATAAATAAATCTTTTAAAAAACAAAACAAAACTTGCTATTTCCATATTTTTGATTATAGCTATCTTATTGTGTATGAAGTGGTATATCATTCTGATTCTGATTTGCAATTCCCTAAATGACTCCGATATTAAGCATGTTTCATGTTTTGTTTTTTTTTTTTGGTCATATGCAACATATCTTCTTTGTAGAAATGACTATTCAAATCTTTTGTCCATTTTTAATAGGGCTTTTTGTTGTTGAGTTATAAGGCATGTATTGCAGATACTGGGGCTGTATGGATACATGGTACAAAAATTTTCTCCCATAACCCTAAAATTTTATATTGATTTTCAGTTTTTTTCAAATATACCTTTGTCTTGTTTGTATTTTTATATGCAGAACTCTAATTCAATATATTAAAGAGATTTTAAATACTGGGCCTACATTGTGGTGCAATGGATTAAAGTGCAGTATTATGAAGCTATCAGCAGCCTCTGCAGCACAAGTTTGATGCCTGGCCAAGGAGCTGACCCACATGGCACAGCAGACCTCTCCTGTCTCACCCCTTGTTCCTCTCAGCAGTTTATTTTCAGTAGATCTGCCTGTTCTGCTCCCTACTCTATCTCTGGTGAATCCTTTCATCCCCCAGACCTCTGGCGTGTATACCAGTTCTTGTATGCATAAATAAATAAAAAACAAAATAAATACTGGACTTGCTAATAAAAGTGAAATCTGAAATCTGAAACCCTGACATCCTGGCATCTCACTCCCAGACCAAGTGCACAAGTCAAATTAAACAAAATTTAATTTTTTTAAAATGGTTCCAGAGCACGGAACCCTTTTACATGAATGGGGATGTGTCAAAAACATAGTAAAGTACCATCTAAAAGATCCTGTTCTACACCATGAAACCTTGGTCATTCTGTCGATGTATTTGAAACCTACAAGGTATGTGATGGAAGCCCCACTAAAAATCTAGGAGTAATTTAGATGTACTCACCTTTCAGCCATTTAAAAATAAAGTATGAAATAAGAATTATGAAGCAAACATCAAAATGTCATCAACACCATCAGATTCATTTATTTAGTGAGAGTTCACTACATCACAAGTATCACTTAGAGAAAGAAAAAAAACAGAATCAACAATTCTTAAAAGCACATATTTGCAGCTGGAGGAAGTATTTGTACTGAGCCTGGCTCCAGCACATATCCAAAAGCACTGATTTACCAGATGATGATTAGGATTGGCTCTCATACATGGGTTATAGAAAAGAAAGGTATCTGGCTTATAAACTCAAGCTCTTAGTCTCAACACAAATATACAAAAACCAACTAAGTAACTGGTCTACACATGAAGGAAAAACCATCCCTCCATTAATAAATGAGAGCTTCAAAAAATACCAAATATGCTTAAAGCAAAACCTCAAACAAAAAGTCAGAATTAAATTTAATTTGAATTCCCAAAACTTCAAGTATATATTACTAGCAATGATGTGACACCCACAAAATGCAAACAACTCTCAAAGTACACTTGGCGACAGAACTATTTTGCTTATCCACCTCTCATGTTATAACCTAATTTCCATTTCTGAAAATATTTCAAACTGATAGTTAAAACAGTATTTACTTAAAACTTTATAAAGTGTTTTTACCTCTTCTTCCTCAATTTCAGAGGTGTTAAGTTCATGTTTTTGACAGTAAGGGCCCTCTTTCCAAGCTTCAGTATCACCACAGTCACAGAAACCTCCACCTCCTGATGTTGTCATCTTGAAAAAAAGCAAAGTATCTTGTCAATAAGTATTTACTGAGGGTTACCAGATTATAAATAATATCAAATGCTAATGATAACAATGCTGAAGTGTTTAACTGCTTTGAAGGGATAAAATTAAGTACCAAACCTCTCACTATTTTAGGGCTTACTTTAAATATGCTCAAATGCTAATTTCATATTTCAAAATAAAAAAAGCTAAAGATCTAGTCAACTATAAACATTTTAAAGAGGCAAAACAGCCCACCTACATGACTTTGATAGTTAGGAGGCTCAGAAGGATTTCCTGGGGATTTTGACTGACTTGGTATCATGCCGGTATCTATGCCAGCAGGTTACAAAGATTCCTGTAGCTGCTGTCTCCTAGAAAAATTTAGTAAGAGTGTTGCAGCTGTATTAGAGAAAGTGACCAATAAAAACTGCAGAAATCATTTACTTTTCTTTTCTAACATTCAGAACAGCCATTCTTTGAGAAGAAGCAAGCTCAGGAAATATGAAAGTAGGTTGCCTGGTCATAGAAACTTTACCACCTGTGAGGTTTTCATACTTCCCTAAGATCTGGCAATGATTCAAGGAATCTGGCAAGACAAAATATTAGTTAATAACTGGTAGACTGAAATTCTGCTTTTCCTACAATATAGTAAGCAAGAGTTTAGGAATCAGTATTAAGATGCAGCAAATTTCAGAATGAGCTCTATGATAGTTTGCCCAAATAAAGTGTGTCATACACCACAATGTCATTAGCGCTACCCCATGAGTGACAATTATTGTCAGGCGCTGCAAAGATATATTCCAAGAAACATAACAATCAGCCATTTAGAAAATGGCAACCTGACCCTATAAATTACAGATTTACTTTGGTCACTAAAGACACAAAATAGCTACTTAGAAACTGGGATTCTCTTACTGATTTATAAAAATAAAAATATCCAAAAATACAAGGAGCCCAATTTTGCAGCTGTTTTAGTTCATTACTAACAACACTCACATAGAGTGCATACAAACAGGAAGATGACTCCTGAGCCAGCAGCTCCTAAATTAGCAACACGACTATAATATTCTTTCTCTACCATTTTAATTTGAGGTTAGGGTGAAAAGTGCCAGCTAATTACAATTCCTTAATTTTTAAATTTCATAACTGTTTTCAATTTCCAAAAGTGGAACCAGGACAGAGTTAAGAATAATCTGTTTCCCTAACTTGAAAGCAAACACATTGATTTTGGGAAACATAGTGACTGTATTACAGCAATGGAAAAAATTAAGGAAGAAGATTGGTCTTTTGCTGTGGAAGATGCTTCTTTAATTAAGAAATGACCAATATTCCATAAAACATAACTAATATACAGAACTTAAATAATATTGTCACTTTTACTTACTCTTTTCCCCCACACATTCTCCCTTGCTCAAACCTTCTTATACTTTTATCATAACTTTTGATAATCTTTATAAACCTGGAATTATGAAGAACTAAACATTAAAAAAAAATTAGCAAAACAAAAACAATTCAGTTGAAAACAAAATGGTAAAGGATATGACATCTATGTTGTCCTTGATCTAGGTGTTCCAGAAATCTGGATTCATAATTCATTTCTTTATACTGATATCACAGGGTTAACACTGTTTAAATGCCACAATGTTTGAACCCTCTCCCTCCATTGTTATGTTAAATCTTGGAATTAAAAAAAAAGGCAGAAAAAGTGTCTAGTATAAAATTCAACAGTGGGTGTGGTTAATATCTGGATGTTACTTACCCTATATCGATGGTCTCTGTGAATACTTCCCAAAAAGCACTCCATGCATAAAACACAAGTTGGGTCAACTGCACAGTCTCTGTAAAGTTAAAGAAAAAAAAATCAGAGCATCATAAAATAACTGTATATTTCACAACATAGTATTTCAAATTGGAATCCATCCCAGAAGAGCTAGAACTGTGAAGTGTCTTGGTGATAGAGGAAAAGAAATATTCCCAAAGATCTACTAGATCTTTGATTAATGAAATTCAGTTTAAGAACCTGTTTCTCATAATGGATGCAGATTAGGTAGGAAAAAGCAAATATTGCTAAGACAGTAACTTTCCAAAAGATTTTGGGAAATCATAGTTTATATTAAAATGCTCAGATGTATGTAGAATTTAAAATCTGTATAAATTCTTAAGATATCTGAGATTTCAAGTAACTCCCTTTAGATGGGGTGCTTTAAAAGTGGTATGAATGCACTCCAGGCAAGGCACCACGTCAACTAGGATACGATAAAAATACCAACATTTCTATTTCTATTTAAATGTCACAAAATAAAGGGAAAATTAAACATTCTGAGTGACCTTAAGATGCAGACTGATACGTCTCCTCTCTAGGTCTGCGTACCTGAGGGTGACACAGTGCTCAGGAGACATCCTAAGTGATGAACAAAGTGGGTATGTGTCCTTACATGATGTTTCTGAATACATGCATTTTAATGAATGCTAAGTCTATTCTGTATATAAATATTACTGTTTTACATCTCATTTTGTTCTTTACTTTTCAATTCAGTGGTACAACCCATCATTTTGTTAGTGTATATCTGACTACTACTTCTAACCTCTCTATTATATACTATGACATATATCCAAAACATTTAACCTCTATTATCCCTGCCCAGGAAGCCTTTCTAGCACAAATCACAGTTCCATGAGCATTCCTATAGGTGTTTACTTATGGATCTGTTTGAAAATTTCTTTGGCACATACACTCAAGAAGACAGCTATTGGGGTATTATAAATGTAAGTTCTTATTCTGAATGCCACACTGCTGTCAGAGTAGCTACACATGCCACACTAGTAAGTGAGGGTTTTTACAGCCTTGCATCTTCATCAACACTTGAATTTATCTAGTTTTCTAACATGGGACAGCCTAACATACATAACATACCTAATTGTTTTAACTGCATTTCTCTGCTAAAATATGCAAGTAATTCCACATTTAGGATTGTCTTTTCTGTAACTGGCTGTCGACGTCCTTCACCCTTCTTTTTCCTGTCATAATTGTTTTCTTTACCTTGTTTATTTGCAGGAGGGTCGCTGTAAAATCTAGAGGATATCAATCATTTGGCTATATTAAACACTGTAAATATTGTCTCTCATTTGTAATTTGTGTATTGATGTTGCCCATGGGATCCCCTCTGTTAAACAGAACTCCTATTCTGATGCAATGAAATTTACACACATACTATTTTCAAATATAGTATTTTCCCCAATATTATCTACCAAACAATCTAACCTTAATCTACTGACTGTGGTCTCACTTTTATATTCATTTTCCACATATTCTTAGGTCTATGTCTAAGGTCTCCAGTATGCCTGAGTGATCTCTTTTGTTTATTCTATGCCATGCCACACTCTATAACTACAGCTCTGCAGGTTTTATTAGTATCTGGTAGACTAAGCTATCCATAAATTATTCTTTATACTTCCATGTATCATTTAGTATTTTGACACTTTACTTAAAATTTATTGCTGAATTTCAGATGTAATACACTTTTTTTTTTTTTAAAGATTTATTTATTTGTGCATACAGAACTGGGGCACAGGCCAGAGGCTCAGGGGTGGTGAGAGGATTCACCAGAGACAAAGAAGGGGTGCAGAACAGGCAGATCGACGAAGTACACTGCTGAGGGGAGCAGCGGGCAGGTCAGGAGAGGTCTGCCGTGCCATGTGGTCACTTCCGGGGCAGGCGGGGATTGAACTCATGCGGAAGTGGCTTTAGTTCTCAGTGCTGTGCTTTAACCCGCTGCGCCACCAGGGAGGGCCATAATACACTTTTTAAAAAGATTTATTTATTTGTGCATACTGAACTGGGGTATAAGCCAGAGGTTCAGGGGTGGTGAGAGGATTCACCAGAAACAGAACATAGAGCAGACCAGGCAGATCCACGAAGTACACTGCTGGGAGCAGCAGGGGAGACAGGAGAGGTCTGCTGTGCCATGTGGGTCACCTCCAGGGCTGGGGATCAAACTTGCACTGAATCAGCTGCAGTTAGCTTGCTGTGCTGTGCTTTAACCTGTTGCAACACCAGGAAGGGCCTAGTAATAAAATTCTTGCAAGAGTAAATGACCACATCCCATAATTATTTTCTATATATATATTTTTAAAGATTTATTTATGCTTATAGAAATGGGGTATAGGCCAGACCTGTGGTGGGTGAGAGAATTCACCAGAGACAGAGTGGAGAGCAGAACAGGCAGATTGACAAAGTACACTGCTGAGGAGAGCAGTGGGTGGGTCAGGAGAGGTCTGCCATGCCATGTGGGTCAGCTTCCTGGTGGGGGATTGAACTCATCCTGCAGTGGCTTCGGAGAACTTCATAATGCAGTGCCATCACTATTTTCTAAATTTTTTACTAAGGTTTAAAAGTCTTTTTGGATGTCCTTTGTATTCTCGATACATTAGTATCTAGGTACTTTCTAGGTGTTGTTATTCTAATGATGCATATATTTTTAAAATTTCATTTTCTAGTTGTTTAAGAATGATGAAAAGAAAGTACAGAGTTTTGAGCCTTGATAAACTCAAATCAAATATTGATTCTGTTGTGCTTCTCCTCCCATCCCCATAAACAAGTATACAACTTTATCTCTTTCCTTCTAATATTTAAAGTTTTCTTTTTCTTTCCTTCTAGTCTTGACAAGGTATTAAATAGTGGCAATAAGGGAGGCACCCTTGTCTTGCTCAAGAGATACAGTAGCATATATATCTAAAGGTGCTTCATTAAGTTTTACATTCACTGTAGGTTTACTAAGAAAGTGTCCTTCTAGAAAGAATCAAGTATTCATCTTGCCTTTCCTATAAAAACTATCTCAAAATTATCAAAGAACTGATGAAGGACTGTGTTTCTCTTATGAAAGTCTAGCTAATGAGTAAGACTGTCTGCCCCAGTGAAATACTGATCAAGATCAAAGACTACGGTGAATAATAAAGCATTAGGTGAAAGGGCCGCTGGAGACCTAATGGCTGCATCTAACTCCACTAAGCAGTCTTAAACAGACACGGCCAAGCTTTATGTGCACCTCATAGTAAGAATGTAGAAGTCACACATCAACAATTATGATGCTATTATTCCCAAACGTTTAGTCAAACCTAATTACCTGTTTAAATAAAGGGATAGAGAAACATGTTAAGCAACATCATGGGAACATTATCAGTCCACTGTGGAATATAGAAAATTCCATGGTATAAGTTACCTGGTTTCTTCATTACATAAGTGAAAAAGGAAGGTAAGGAGTTGCATAGGAGTAACAGTATGGGAATTTTGAATTTACATCTATGAATTAATGAAGACTATTTAAATTCTGGCTAGATGTAGCTAGTAGTAAGGAATCACAGTGTTAATTTTTTTTTTAAAAGAATGTTAATGATTATAGAGAACTGTGATGGCACATGGGTGAAATGGTGATGGGAAGTCCATGGGGACTACAACTGAAAAGAATGTTAATGATTATAGAGAACTGTGATGGCACATGGGTGAAATGGTGATGGGAAGTCCATGGGGACTAAAACAAAAGGATGTAAAAATAAACTACTATAAACACACACACACACACAAAGATACCCAACTGAATGGAAAGATGTATCTGCACATCATACAATTCACAAGGAAGAAAAAAATCCTTTACCCACTTTTAATCGCATCATCTTTTTTTGTCCCTTATATTTCTATCAGAAATTCTATTTGACAGATACGAAGTTGCTAAATTACCTTTTCAGATGCATCATACATTTTACCAAAATGTTTTTCTCCACAATTTATATTCTTATTTTGAATGACTTTGTTTTACTTTGTCCCTCATAAACATTTTTTGGATCTTTAAAAATCAATCTGAGGTGCTACTATCTTCCTATTTTATGTAACAGATATCGTTATGTTATCTTTAATATTTATGTAATATAAGTGTACATTTTATCATATGTAATATGAAATATAATTTACTGAAATGGAAAGCCTGTCTCCAAGCAGCCCAACAATTAAGAAAAAACATAACTCTATAAAATTATAATACTAGTTGTTAACTGCTATATTAAAGGCATGTCACTTTGGTTAAAAATTCCAAGGAACCCTGAGATCTTAGGGCTTTGTTAAAAGTCCATTGTTAAAAATTTCCATCTCCAAACTCTCTGGATCACCGTTGCCTCATTAAAATGTTCTGAGCATATACTATCTGTAAATACACTCATATTCCACTTATGCATTAATTTTACACATATTTATAAAATAACTAAATATGTACACACATACACACACACGCACACACTATTGTACTAGTTAGCTTTTCTCCATTATACTACTGTGCCGCTGGAATCCCAGGAATGAAAAAAAGAGGCAGGAATATATTTGAAGAATAAACTGAACTTCCTAAATTTGGATAAAGACAACCTACAGATCAAAAAACTCAAGGAATCCCAAGAGGATAAATAGAAAGAATAAAAGACATAGCATAGTCAAACTTCTAAAATCCAAGGATAAAAGAAAATCTTGATGACCAGAGAAAAACAATACATTTCATGTATGGGTAGATAAATATGTTAATTAAAGCTATCATCAGATATTACAAGACTTTTATATTTAAAAAAGTGCAGACTGGGACCTCTGTGTTAGTGCAATGGGCCAGGATGCAGCACTAGTGGCAAGCTAGCCGCAGCCACTTCAGTGCAAGTTTGATCCCCTACCCCGGAGGTGACCCACATGATATGGCAGACCTCTCCTGTCTCCCCCACTGCTCCCCTCAGCAGTGTATTTCGTCAATCTGCCCGTTCTGCTCCCCACTCTGTCTCTGATGAATCCTCTCACCGGCCCTGTACCTCT